AAGGGCTTCTGTGGGTGTCGTTTAGCCTTATGAACACTGCCTCACAATAAAGTGTTACCAAACGTTCTCATAGCTGACCACAGTAGTGAAGGTTGCTTTCTGACTCTGGCACTCATTTCCTTGTGACATGTCTGTTTACACGTGTCTCATAACAAGAGCCTTATTTTAAACTAATGGACCATCAGAAATTGTATCACATAATTGGAACCCTCCTCCAGTGCTGACCGGCCCGCTCCCCCAAAGAGCCTGACTTTCTGCCTATTTCAATATTGTTTTAATATTGTTTGTTGATGTTTGTCATGGTGTATATGTGTGTGTGTGTGTGTGTGTGTGTGTGTGTGTGTGTGTGTGTTTTAGGCCAAAGGAAGAATTGCAGGCTGTTTTTCATCTTTTGGAATAATGAGCATTACTATTACATGGGGTAAATTAGTCACTACATTGTTCGCTGCCAGTTCAGTGATCCAATAACAAACAGTTATTTAATTGATTTATCACATTATCACTTTATGTGAAGGGAATTTTGTCCTTCACCTTTTCTTTCCCACTTCTCTGGAAATAAAACATTTCTGTTGGATCACTCAGCAGGCCAAGATTAGTCAATGTCTCTACCTGACTCACTTACTGACTCACTGACTTCTCATTGCTGAAATGCACGTGCATGAGATTTTTAAAAGAGAGAACATATGATGGAGAATTACTTTTATAAATTTACCCAAAATACAGAGTGGTTGGTGCAAGTTTTGGGAAATTCTTATAAACAATAACTGACTGTCATTAATAGCGATTAATTATTAACTGGAAGCATAAGATCATAGAAATCATATAACCCATTGAAATATCAGTTATAAAACAAGCAATTTTGGTTCTGAAACCTTTTTGCTAGCCACCTTCAAAGCCATTGTAAAATGCTTGACATATGAGCACTTATGAGCATACACATAAACTGAATTCTGTATATTGTGTGGATTGTGGAATGTAGTACTAATAACCGGGACCAGGATGAAGCGTGTCTGTGAAGTATAATGGACTGAAATCGTATTAAACACTCTCTACATTAGAACCTGATTTTGCTTAAACTGAGGGGCTGAGAATTATATGTTCATGATCATATGACTTGGTAGATCTTGAAGTGTCATTCACCACGTTCTTCACAAGAAACGGAAGTACGTAAACACCAGGTAAAACAAAATCCACTATTGCCTTATGGATGGTTATTGACCTCAGAAATACAGGCGTTCATATTACCTCATCTCACCATGGAAAGGTGTGTCACTTCATACTTGTCATAGTTGCCATGATTGATCAGAGTACAATAACATCAGCGAACATCTACAGAGTCATAAACATGACAGGATGGACATGTAAAAATGACTGTAACCAAAATGTTAGATTTAGCCATGTTGCCTGGAGATGTGAAACAGCTAACAGTAAACTAGTTGGCAAATTAATGTACCAGCTGGGGGGTGTGCCGCATTGTCAGGGTCCATAGCCTTCTACAGTTTGCCACCGACTGGTGACAGCTTTTGAGGGGAGCATGAAAACTGTTCTGCTCAAAGCGGCTGAAAACAGCATCAACTTTAGAGTGTGAATTGCTTTCAATGTAACGTTAGCAGCAGTGAAATAATGACACAAAGATACTTCCTTCATAATTGCTCAAACTCTTTTTTCCTCTGCTCATTGTAAGCTGGGAAGTCAAGCTCTACTCGGCCATTGCTGTGGTTGTTTTAGTAGAAGCAGCGTAACACTGCAATGAGTATTTCCAGCAGAAAAAAAAACTGCGAAAAAAGGCCTATTTTGCCTTGTGAATTTCTCACACTGCTGTGCATCACACTTTAGCTTGAAAAACATGGACGAAACAGCAGTCTGTCTTGTCTGCTTTCAGATGTTTGCTTTTGTTATGGCACATTGTTGTTGTGTTATTGTCCTCTCAAATATACCTCTTTTTTTTTAGCTGTATGCTTTATATCTTTGTATGCCTAAAAATGGCCCATTGCACAGTCTTGTGCACTGTTTAAAAACATTCCTTGAGCTCAGTGATATACCTGTCTCTTTAAATAGGAACTGCTTTTTATTGGAAATGAAATGATGTTAAATTAATGTTTTGTAAACATTTGGCCAAACAATTGTTTGTTTGTTTGTTTGTTTGTTTGTTAAGGGTCAATTGCTTAATCATTGACATCTTTAATAGAGATACAACCAGTGAGAAAAGATTTTCCCAAGATTTGCAGACGGCACCAGCTAACACATCTTACTGCTATGGCACAATTGGGGTGTATCTATCACTATGACCACATTTCTTCTGATGTAATGATCTAACTATGCATCAAGGCTGTGAGTTCACTCCCCACGTGATACACATGAGCGCAACTGAAACGATGCAACCCACGATGGCCGAAAGCTCAAGTAGATTTCAAGACTTCAAGACAATGAAAATGTCCACGGAAAGAGAAAAACAACACAACTGCCTGAGAGCCTTACCTGTCCCGACTAGACTGGAGATGTTTTGATAGAGCTGAGAGGGGGTGCAAGAGAGAAGTCTAATTTATAATGTGTAATCTAATTGTTTAGTAGCACTGAAATTCAGTATTGACTCCGAGGTGTGAACAAGGATCGAGTATTGAGGAGTGGTCAGGTTGGTGTTTGAGTATTCACCAGGATGAGGGTGGTGGTGACCCTGGTTTATGTAACCGTGTGACTGTGCGGTGGCAGAGAGATATCACTTCAAACACTCTCCAGCCTCAGATCCTGCTGACGGATCGTATGAAGATGTGCTTTGATTGCCCACCTCAGAAAGACGGCCTCCCAAAGTGTGTGTGTGGGTGTGTGTGTGTGTGTGTGTGGGTGTGTATGTTATAGGTGTGGCACTGTGGTTGATGTGTGTTGTGTTGGTTTTGGTACTGGTGTGTGGGCTGATGATAATCATGGTTCTGGTTTGGTAAGTTATGAGTTATGAACTGAAAAAGCTTTCATTTCTGTGTGTGTGTGTGTGTGTGTGTGTGTGTATGTGTGTGTGTGTGCTTGTTAAGGCAGAATATCTGTAAGGCAGATTAAACAAATTAAATTCTGAGAAATTAATGTAGATCACTTTGTCACCATCTATTACATTTTTTAGCTTCTGACATGTTTTCTGTGATGCAGCTTCTGTTTTATGATTTCTGACAAAATGCAACAGAATCAATATCAATCGTTTTCCTTTCTTTTTATGTCTTTCTCTCGCATGCTTTCTCTTTTACTCTTTCTGTCTTTCTTATTCTCACTCTTTCTCTTTCTTTTTCTCTCCTTATTGTTCTTTCTTTGTTTTTTTCTTTCTTTGTCTATCTCTTTCTCTCTCTCTCTCTCTCTCTCTCTCTCTCTCTCTCTCTCTCTCGTGAAGTATGCCCGATGCAGGGCAGGCAGCCAGCAGACAGAGAGATGTGTCGATGTAGAGATAAGGCTGAAGGCAGGTTTGGGCCTGGTGAGACAGGCATTAGTTCCTGCGTCTGCTGCTCTATGGCCCGAGCCGCCGCAGGCAGTAGACTGGTGGAGAACTCAGCTTGACTACTAGCTGATCTCAGCATGGCTGCAAACTGCATGTGACACTGACCGATTCACCTCTACTCTGACACATCTTTCTTCCTTTCTAGTTGGGATTTGCTCTCTCCCTAGCTACCACACCACTGCCAATGCTTATAAGATGTGAGGTCATTGCAAGGATTTTTTTTTTTGTTTGGGGGGGTGATGCTAGGTTAGGAGGGGGCTTTCCAGTTATAAATAATGCCAAGGCCACCTACCTGTGGTCCCTCAGTCAGGGCAAAGTCGCAGCAATGAAGTGGGGCCAAGAAGGGCAACTGGAGGAGTGTGGGAGAGTACGGTATCAGGCAGCAAAGCGGGGAAACCTGAGGCCTAAAGAGCTCCCTGAACACCTTAGGAACCCTTAGAGCCCCATTTCAGCATTAATGTAATCTTCTGTGTTCATGGCCTCCCTGTTAGGGTGCCCGCCAGAGTGCCTGAGTTGGAAATGAGGTTGTTCTGAACTTACCTTTAGCTGTTGGTGTGCAGTCATTTGGTGGCACTGAAATTTATCAGGCAGCTTGAATTTTAAGTGCCCTTGATTTCACTGAACAGTCAGTCCCGAGTCTAATTCAGAAACGTTGTTATTGATCAGGATTGAAAAGTTCTAAGTACATTGTACCATTTAGATCATGAATATAAGATTTTTTGGCTATTCATATTTAGTATCAACTGAAACTTTCTCCATTTAAAACAAAACTATGTAACATGACAGTGCAATCTGAAACATTTCCTGAAGCTACACTATGTAGTCTTTATACCAAGAGCTTTCTTAGCTATTTTTAGAAACTAAGTAAATAACGGACCAGCATTTCCGCATTTCAAAAATGCAATGCTGAGTTTATCTAAATGGTTAGACATATGTTCTTTACCGAGTAATTTGCTGAAACAGAAGTTACAAGCCTAGATGCTTATATCCAACATTTCAAATGATTTCAATTATTAGATGTATGAGCCCAGAGTATGTACTGCCTTATGCTATTACCCTTCTGTGGATGTAAAGAAGATCCACTTCCGAAATAGGAGCAGCTGCAGCAGATAAGACCGAAAGCTTTGCTGGCTTTTGAGTTTCTGAATGTGATCCAGAACCCTGGAAGCCCCAATATTGCTGATGCCTTGATCTGTGAAACGCAATAATTGCATACGTTCCTCGATCCCTGTTTCATCCCCAGTTTATGACATCAGTTTGTATTAATGGTTTGCGGTTGGAAACTATCTCAAGGGCAGTCTAACATACTGATGTTTTCATCATCGGCATGTTTTTAATGTCCTGAATTGTCACTTTCACGCTCGCATCATTGTGCTCTGCTTTTGTTGTTTGAGATTACAATCCTTGTCATTTGTAAGGAGTTTTCAGTGAAGAGAAGCATACTTTAATCAAACTGACTGAACAGCAGATTTTGACTTGAATAGGTTTGTTCTTATTCTGCTTTTCATTTGTCTTTTTGCAGGTACTGGATAAGTCACTTCTCAAGCAGGACAGAGAGGTGCTCAGGAGACATCTGACGAACTTTGAGGAGTGATGGACAAGTACACTGTTGATTTATCCACCAGTACAACCATGGATTTACAGAGAATCACATTCTCCAACACGTTTCACTTTCTCACCACCTGCTTGGGATCTGGGATCTGTTTTATTGGGACACACCAAACAGGATTACCTAATTTGTTTTTTCATGGCATCAGGGTTATGGATTCAACACTCACTTTTTTGGACTATGATGAACTTCACTGTCCTGTAATGAATGCTGATGAAGTGTTTTAATTCAGCTTAATTAATATAGCTGTGAGCTCCACAATTCACTGGTTGCTTCTGACGTCTGCCATTCAGGCAGGATGGGAAAATTTCACCTTGACCTTTCATCTTCCTTTACTAAATATGACCTTGTTGATCTCATCATGTGTACCATGTTTGGTAGCCTTGCCACCAAAAAATTAAAGCAGAAAAATCTGTGCCAACAATGGAGACGTGCTTGTTGTCATGTTTTCTCAACCTCATGTTTCCCTATGTTTTTTTGTCCCTCGTAGATATTTTCCCCTAGTTACCATTTCTAGAAGTATCGATGTCTATATACACAAGTACCAGGATTGTAAACATTGACTAATTAGGTCTGTCAGACTGCTTTATCTGCTGTTGATTTACTGCAGTCGATAAGTCCTGATATGCCTGTGTATGTGTATAGAGAAGGAGGGAGGAAGTAGACCTGAGACAGGAAAGACAGGTCCATCCAGCTCACATCCTGTCACTACTTCATTGCCATGGCCAGATTTATTGATAACAAGCTGGCATAGGTCCATTTTTATTTTGTTTTCTTACCTGTGAAAAGTAACCAGCTCAAAGCACAGTGAATCAAACCACAGTGAATAGTGACGCCTACTCAAGCCATAGCACTGGCTGCATAATGGTGAACATGGCTTGTCTGGTTTGGCATGGATTTTTTCGAGTTTGGAAACCCTGAAACAGGCAGAACAGGTGAGTTTCTGTGAAGTCACCATCTTTTTCCCCCGTGACTTTCCAATAAGCAATGATGATATCATTTTGACAAAGATAAGCCATGCTATATTTTCAGCATTGCTTGGCATGTGATTCCATTATGTTTGAGCGTCTTAGGCCAGGCCTATACTATGCCATTTTACAAAACTTGTTCTTTGTTGACAACTAGTACTGTATGTATTAATTTGGTCTTCATGTACAACTAAAACCTACGATTTATGTGCTCACACTATACGATAGATATGCCTGTAACATTGGCGCTCACACTGCACATGAATGCCTCCCTCTAAACCCCCTAAAATTTTCAACACTGTGCCCCAGTACCAAGTAAAAATGTTGACAAAATCGCACAATGTATGCCTGGCTTTAGGCCTCAAAAAGGGTATCAAATCCCAAATTGGATGAATTGACATGTAGTCTTAGAATATTCCTCTCTTCCTGTGTTTGCCAACACTGATTCTTCCATTCCACTATTCAGAGTCTTTGAAAGTGTTCTTATAATATAGTTTGTGTGTGTTTATTGTCTGTATGTGTGTGTGTCTGTGTGTGCCTGTGAGCATGTCACAGAGAGATGGATTGCATATTGTGCGTTCAATCAAAACTTATGGAACCCCTCTGTGGTAATTTCCTATTCAAGTGCCGTTCACTGTCGGCCTTAAACTCTGACTCAATAAAGCCTGGCTCTTGCGGAAGTACGAGCCCAATGGGAGTTGGGGGTGGAGTTGGCTGACACAGGGAGCTTTGGGGTGAGATGTATGCACTGCAGTGAGGGTGCTCCTCCTTCTCTAACCCAATTTGATAACCTCAGACCAAACCTTTAGGCTCTATTGCAAAGTGCCTTATTTTAATTGCACCCTTCCTCAGTCACTGGTCAATGGCTCAGAATGTCCCTGGGGCTTTATTAAAGATTTGGCCATTGAAAAAAGGCACAAAGTTGTTTTTTTTTTTTTTTGAACGAGCACCTGCTTTGGCCAACCCGGTTTTCAGAGGATGGGCTTCATGACATCTTTATGGTCCTACCTCTGCCTGAAAACATTAGCATGACTACAGTGCTTTTCCCTGTTTGCTTGCCCCCCCCATCTCTTTCTCTCTATCTCTCTCTGCTTCTCTCTCCCTCTCTCACTTTTTTTTTCTCACACACATCTCAGGGGAAAAAATGACCTCTCTGCAGCTTTCAATTCACTGCACTTCTATAGCGCTCAATGGACCGGCTGAACAAAAGGTGACATAATTTTCTCAGGCTTTGATTGGCCCCCACCGTGTCCTGGAATGACATCATGCCCACTCCCCCCCTACTTTGTCTCCCCCCACATAGTTGGATGCTGGGTCGTCAGGGTAACGGCGGGCAGGACTTGGCATCAGCCAGTTTGGCTGTCGATAATCAGTGTGGGCAGCGTTGGGCTGTTGTTTTTGGTAAACAATCCTGGGAAATGGTGAGGGGGAGCAGGGCAGGCTTGTTTGTGGGTGTGGGAGGGGGGGGCTTCTCTTTCCTCCCCCTTTCTCATAGGCTAACTTGCTGTCTTAATGTTCGAAGGATACAAGCTTGCCCAGGGCACACAGGGCTTTTAAAGTGCTACTCATGGCATTGTTTCTTTGGTGCACTTGCTAACTGCTTCCTAGAGCCACAAATACATTCTTAAGTTGAGGCTTTCTGAATAGATTGGTCATTCCCGTTCCTCCCCACCCACAACCACAACCCCATCCCTCCCTCCCCTGGCCCCACTCACTCTCCTTTTTTGACGGAGTTTTGAAGGGGGGGGCAGCCGCGTCTCTTAGAGGATATGAAGTGATTAAGAGGCCTGCATGTGTTTGGAAAGGCCTGCCGTGATTCATTTTTCCTGCATTAATTAGAGGAGGTTGCACTAAAGGGGATTTTCTCTCCTCCTCTTCCTTCTCTTTTCCTTCTGTGATTCCTCATGACTCTGACCAATTACATGATGGCCATAAGGAGTTCTCTAAGTCACATTCGGCAAATCCTTGCTGCTCACTCGGTTGCCCCCACCAACCCCAACCACCACCTCATGTTGTTTGTTTGTCTTTTCTCTGTGAAAAAGCCATCAACAAAGAAAGTTTCTCCAGAGCAATTGAGCTAAGACAAAGATAAAAATTAGCAGGGAGCTGAAAAATGATTTTCAGTGATTAGGGGCAGTGGTTAATCTTTGGTCTGGTTGTGTAAGGGGACCTCTGTTAACATTATTTGTCCCTCAGTCTGTGCTGAGTGACGTCAATGTTTAAATGCTGGGCTTTCCTACCAGAGCCATTTTAGGGCTGTGCAGCCTCTTTTTTTGGCAGCTTAGATTTGTCACGCTTCCAACTATGGACCTCTGACCCTGTGTGATGAAATGTACTTTTTGCGCTGGGTGCGCTCCAGAACCCAAACAGCCTCGTAGGTACACAGACAAAAAGTATCGCACACAGACAAACGGCCATTTCCCCTCACAAGAGCCGTTAATGAGAATAATTTCGGGGCCCGGAGCCGGTTCGGGGCCAGCGGCCAAACCTCACTGCACCCAAAAGGCGCACACAGCGTGCTTTAAGTGCGGTCCAAACCATTTCCTCAAGCAGTCCTGCCTCCTGGAGAAAAAAAAAAAAGGCCACAATTACTCCGTGGCTCATGGAGCAGCCCCAGATCTCAGAGTGCTGGAGGAAAAGCTAGGCTTCTGCTAAGGTTCTTGAGCCTTTCAGCCAAGGACACACCCAAAGAGAGAGCACACTGCACCAGTGGAAGATGTCTACCCATTCATAATCTTCCAAGTGTCCATCTGATACCTGAAGCAAGGCAAACTAACGATAGAGCTATGCTAGGTGGCTCGGTGCCTTGGAGACAGATGGTTTGCCACAGCATGTTCTCCCATTACTAGAGTCGTCGATTTATTTGACTTAATGGGCTATATTAAAAAGCCTTCATTGTGCTTCATAGGAGACGCCCAGGGAAAGATGCATCAGCCTGTGCTTCCTGCTAGCAGACAGAGTGTTGATCCACTCCTGCTCCAGGGTCGGCCTCAGCTTTAGAGCGATTGGCTGATGGCATGGCCACTGAAGGGAGAGATCTGCCAGCCTGGCTGAAGAGTACATGTATCGGTTTACAGCTGGCAGGGGCTGGGTTGTGTGGGTGTGCAGGGAGCATGACGTCCCACTCCGCCAAGCTGGAATGGAGGACCGGCCGCCGGAAACCTGCCCGCTGCCTCTCTCTCTCTTTCTTCACTCTTTTTTTTTCTCTGTCTTTCTGGGCGTGGGAACACTTTCCAAAGCACTGCCCTAATCTGTTCTGACCTTTTCTAAGAGTTTTCTCCTCTTTCCAAAAGGATGACTAATTTTCTTTTATTTTTAACCTGTGGAGTAAGTTAATCTCTTTTAATATAGAGGAGAAGTGCTTCATTGTTGCTGCCTGTTAGTGACGTCATTACAGAGGGAATGGCCATGCGATAATCGAGGATTTCCTTTCGCTGCCATTATTTCACCTTCTGGAGTAGTTCAGTCTAAAGGCACCAGGTGCAGCTATCACTTATTGAATAAGCTACAAGTAGAGCCAGAACCTTCCCCTGAAATGAAACTTTCTTAAAGTGTCAGAGTAAGAGACCACTTTAACCTCATGATCATATTCATTAGGAAATGGAAAACGAAAGCATTCGTGGATCAGTGAGCTGCAAGTACTGCCACACATGACCCCAGGCCTTGTCGCATCCCTCTTTTTCTTTCAGTGTCGTTCTAATCCCCATTGAGAGGGGACAGAGGGTGGGAGTGTGTGCTGTGTGTGTCTGTGTGTGTGTATGAGGGGGGGGTTTGTAGAAGGCCAAGGGCTAGACTGACATCCATGGGAATCTGGAAATCTATTCAGCTGTAATTATCACCAGCAATACACAGTGATGTGTTGAGGGGCAAAAGGAGTGTGGGAGAGGGGGCAGAGGGGGGAGAGCGTTGGCCAAGATGGAGGGAAGAGGAGAATGGGCATGGGCATGTCTCATACGGAGCTCAGAAAACCTTTATATCATTTATGCAAAGCTGTTTAAATTAGACATATTTTGATTTGTTCAATTTATGTAACGTCCTCTGTCACATGCTAAATGATCTTGGCCAGCATAAGTGCAAACTTTTTAGAAATTTTACAGGCCATATTCCATACTTGGTTGCCCAGTAGTTTGTGTTGTTTAATAGGTTTTGTTGTTGCTGTTAATAGACTAATTAATGGAAGAATTGTGTTATTAATTTATTATGAAAGACATCAGCCCACATTCCCCAGATTCTCTGTAGCTGGCTAATTAAGCAATAGAACACAAGACAGAGTGTGTTATTCCACGAGTGTTCTATTGAGGTTTTGCTGCAACATATCGTTATTTAGTAACTGGTGCTCAGCGGAATGTTAGTTACTGTAAAAGAAATGTGTATAACAGCACGGACAGAACACTTTTCAACCAGTCAGATTGTGTGGTCAGAACTAACACTTGCATAAAAGAGAATAGCAGTCAATTAAA